TTTTGCCTTCCCCCTGCCCGCCGTGTGAAGGGGATGTTGAACGGGCAGGCTGGCTGTGGCTTGGGCCATTGACTAACACAAAAGAAGTGGCTGATAGAACCACGTTCCAAGCTGATGGCCCTCAGGATCTTGTCTGTGGAGGGCTGGGGTAAGGAGTTCTTTGCTTTGCTCTCGATCTGGCTGCCAGCTGGGAATCTTGGTTGGATGTTCATCGGTGAGGAACTGTTCGAGAGGCCTTTCCTCTGTTTTTTTGGCAGCAGTTCTTGTGCACATCAGAGAGGGGAGGCTGTGCCACACGGCTCAGCCAGCAGGACAGAGCGAGTTCCCAATGGGAAGGACATTTTTGGAGGGAAGATCTCCATTTCCGGCTTCTCCAGCACACCTCGGGGAGGTGGTGGAATGGGTCCCCACGTGGCTCACCAGTGATCCAACAGCACCTCCTGCTGACTGGCACAGGGCACTGCAGACCCTGAATCTCCAGTGATCCAACAGCACCTCCTGCTGACTGGCACAGGGCACTGCAGGCACTGCCTCTCACAACAACCCCTGCAGAGCTACAGGCTGGGCACAGAGTGGCTGGAGAGCAGCCAGGTGGAAAGGGATCTGGGAGTGTGAAGTGACAGGAAGCTGAACATGAGCCAGAGTGTGCCCAGGTGGCCAAGAAGGCCAATGGCATCCTGGCCTGCATCAAGAACAGTGCGGCCAGCAGAACATGGGAAGTGATCCTTCCCTGTACTCAGCACTGGTGAGGCCACACCTTGAGTATTGTGTTCAGTTCTGGGCCCCTCAGGACAGGAAGGACATTGAGGTGCTGGAGCAGGTCCAGAGGAGAGGAACCAGGCTGGTGAAGGGACTTGAGCACAGGTCCTATGAGGAGAGGCTGAGGGAGCTGGGGTTGTTTAGTCTGGAGAAGAGGAGGCTCAGGGGTGACCTCATCACTCTCTACAACTACCTGAGAGGAGGTTGTAGCCTGGTGGGGGTCGGTCTCTTCTCCCAGGCAATCAGCAGCGGGACAAGAGGACACAGGCTTAAGCTCTGCCCGGGAAGGTTTAGGTTGGATATTAGAAAGAAGTTCTTTACAGAGAGAGTGATCAGGCATTGGAATGGGCTGCCCAGAGAGGTGGTGGATTCACCATCCCTGGAGGTTTTTAAGATGAGGCTGGATGTGGTGATCACAGTGGGGTTGGATCAAGGGTTGCACTTGATGATCTTGGAGGTCTCTTCCAACCCAGTTAATGCTAAGATTCTGTGATTCCATGATCCAACAGTACCCCCTGCTGACTGACACAGGGCACTGCAGGCCCTGCCTCTTCTGTGATCCAACAGCACCTCCTGCTGACTGGCACAGGGCACTGCAGGCACTGCATTTCCAGTGATCCAACAGCACCTCCTGCTGACCGTGGTCAGAATTGCACCAAAGGGCCCAAACTGGACTGCTTACCTTGCTTTGTTCATTGATTTGTTTTGAAGGGGGTTATTTTTGGGTATAGAATTATTGGTTGGTTGTTTTATTTGTGTTATTTCATTGTTTCTGCCAATACACATACATATCTTTTATTAAAGGGCTGTTATTCTTTCTTTTTCCACATTTTTTTCTCAGTTGGAGCCTCCTAATTTTGGATTTACAATTGCTTAGAGGGAGGAGTTTGGGTCTTCCTCATAACTCATCCTCAGCAAAACACCTTTGCTTCATTTAAACTCATGCTATGAGGCTGGGTGATCCTACAGCGTGTTCTGATTGGACTGTGATTCCATGAAGTTGGCCAAAATCCTTTATTAATTTAAAACTGTTAGGTCAGACTGTCTGGAGATGTGTAAAGAAAACAGAAGAGAAAACAAACTGGTGAAATGAAGGTTTAGAAAGCTTTTTCTTTGGCTGTACAGACACAACTGCAGAGCTCATCTTCAGAAGAGTATTTTGGAATCAGAATTGAAATTCCACACTGTCAGTCCTTGGGAGCTCTGCTCATCACAATTTTATAGCAAACAGTTTCCTGGGGACCAGGCAATTAACTCAGTGGGGCAGAGCATGGTGCCAACAATGCCAGGGCTGTGGGTTCCTGCCCCAGATGGGCCATTCACCTCAGAGCTGGACTGGATGACCTTTGTGGGTCCCTTCCAGCTCAGCAAGGGTTGAATCCATCAGAATCCATTAATAAAATACAGGAGTACAAAGAAGGAAACACAGGGGCAAGGGGCAGTAAATGCACCTTTCTGGTTCCGTTGTTTTTTAGGTATTTTCTCATTTTGAGCATCATCCACCATTTCCTTTAGTCTCCCTGCATGCAGATCGCCAGTTCTTTGGAACCTTCTGCTCTCCTGCAGTCAGGGGGGAGCTCCTCCCTGCCTGGAATTCCGAGGGACACATTGCTCCCAGTCTGCAGCCCTTTGGCAGCCGCAGTTTTCTGTCAGCTGCAAGGTTTGGCTGTGCAGCTCTGTCTGCCATCAGGTCTGTGCTGCTGGGGATGGACTGGCTCTTAATTACCTCACTCAGAGACAGCTTGGGCTCCTCTGGCCCACACTGAAGTGTGCCATGCAGATACCTCCAAAGCACTCCGGTGTGTGAGGGGTTCATTGCTTTATCCATGCCCTCATCTGTATGGCAGGCCCTGCTGCTTTCACAGCTCTGCTGGAGTGTGGATGTCTGGGACACAAACATAATATTTACCTCATGTGCCAGTATTTACATGGCTTTGATTGAGAATTATTCGGTGTCTTGTAATACAAGTACTGTTGGAAAGACAGCCTCTTCATTTTTACAATTTTCATTTTGGACTCTGAAGGTGATGCCATTTTAATCCTGGTTAGGAGTTATTTGGTTGTTTGAATTCTCCTATTTGAGGTTTTTCAGAGCTATAAGTGAACTTTCATGAGCATCCAAGAGGCTTGGGATGTGAAATGCATCAAAAACTGGATTTTAACAAAATTCAATTATTTCTTGGGGATCATTTGGTAAATGTATATAAGAAATATTAGATCATGGTTCAACTAAATCTAAGCTTAATATACTTTCGGTGATGAATTTACTCTAGTTTTTAATTTTTTTAATGTATAGCTTTGAGCTTTCAAGTAGTACTTGATTAATTCAGGCAAGGAATTAATTAATTCGGGCTCCACTGAAGAAATGAATTAGCTTTCCTTCCTGTATTTTGGGGTTTGTTCCATGAAAGTATTAGTTTTGAATACCTGGATGATATTTATTAAACTTTAGTCCTGCTACCACTAATATTGTAAAACTGAAATGATACTTTAAATCCTGATGCTGTTTGTAGAAAGAATTCTTTTCTGCCTTCAGATCCACAGGTTTAGCTGTAACATATAGTGTATTTAATTGGGTTATTTATTTAATCCAGTATTAAAGAATTATCACCACAATAGCACTTGGTAAGGGGGAAGATGAAACTCAGCTGAAAACAAAGTATGGAGCAAATAGTCCATGTTTGTTTGGGTGGAGAGAGAAGGGGAGGAGAGATGGAGAAAAGAAAATAAACACATAAAATGAAATTAAATATTCCCTGAAACCAGCTGAGCATTTGGTCTTCTCTATGGAAAAGAAATATCTAAACCCAGTATCCAATTTTTTTTTTGGAGTCAACAAATTCCCAGTCCTTTACACAATTTACACAGGAAAATGTTGCATCACAGGTGAAATGGGAAGCTGCTGCTCTTGATTCTCCAACAAGAGTCTCCTGGCACAAACACAGAGTACTGTGACAGCTGTGAATCAGCTTTCTAACAAAGCAGCAGCCACCAATAGTCTCAGTGGGGCTAATGATCCCAGGTTTTTGGAAGTAGAAGAGGGACTGTAAAAAAAATGGTTAATTTATCCTCAAATTATTCCCAGAGCTCCATGAAGTGATGAAGTGGTGAAGTGGAGAGCAGAACACTCCCCCTTTGTTGAATATCATAAAAAATATCATTAATTTCTTCAAATAAAACATTAAACTTTTATTTGGTTAATGCTGAGCTTCTTCCTTGCTTGGGCTGTGAGGAGGAAGTGAGTGTTCAAAACACACCAGTGTGATAATTAAAGTAAATTGCCTTATGCAGTACTTAATTCTGTGTTTAAATCCTAATTTGGGTTAATGAAATTAGAGGGTTGGATGAAACAGTACCGTTAGAGGGCAGTAGTACATGTGGGTAGAATGTCCCATGTGTTGCATATTTTGCTTATTATTAACTGCATTTTTCTCTTCCATTCACTAATGTAATTTAATATATTAGAGTAATTCAGAAGATTTTTGATATACAAATACAACAATGCACATTGTCTTATATCAAATCACAAATATTACAGGAGTGATGCAAAATATATACATAACAGCTTTCAACACTGCGATATTCCAGCTAAAATAGAAACTGAAGTTGCTTGTCTTTCTGTCTTCTGAGTTATACAATTTGTGTATTGTGTAACTTTATTTGAGTGAAACTTATGACTTTAAAAAAACCCAAACAAGCAAACAAACACAAAAAAAACAAAAAACCACCACCACCAACAACAAAAACCACAAAAAAACCACCTTTATTTTGAAACTGTGTGTCTTTATTTTATTAGCTTTAATGCTTAAGCCCATGTGCAGAACTCGTAGATTCCCAGGCAGGGATTGCAGAAATGAGCACGTTTATTCAGACACCTTTTAATGATGAAATATCAATAGTGTGTTGTGGTTTGGCCATGATTTCTGCAGAAGGTTTAGGGTGTTTTGGTTTTCCAGGTATATGTGTTGAGACATTTGGTAGGTAATGAAAGCCAAAGTGTACCCAGTTTATATGGCAGCTTCAGCCTGTGGTAGTTTAATAATTTACTCTGTCTAAGAATTGTAACTGTCTAACCCAAGCAATACCACAAACACCCCATTTCTTTTTCCATTTTCAGTTGGGTTGCTGGTGGTTTGATGATTTGATAATTGACTCTGGTTTGATAATTTACTCTGTCTAAGAATTGTAACTGTCTAATCCAAGCAATGCCACAAACACCCCATTTCTTTTTCCATTTTCAGTTGTGCTGCTCGATACCACAGCTGCCCTTGGAGAGCTGGGATGGAAAACATTCCCTCTGAACGGGGTAAGTCTCACCCTTTTGGTGCTTTTGCTCTTGATTTTGGCATGCTGACACTCTGGAAGGGAGTGGCTTTTACACCTGTGTGGATATTCTGGCAACACAGGTTTGTCAGAAGGATTTGAGTCGTTCTCAGGGCTGTGAGTGTGAACAGCAGATGGAAAAATGACATGAGCACACATTACTGTGCCCTTCTCTTACTGTCCTGAGAATTTATCTTACTTTAAATCCAGTTCTAACTGCTACACATCATAAAGCTTCATATCAAAAATTCCTGCCCTGGAGGAACGTGTTATGACTACATTTTTTGGGGAATTACAAGGAAAAATAATTTTCAGTTTTATATTAAATTGGAGCAAAACTATAATGATTTAAGTGATAATTAATATGGACTTTAGCATCTGGTAAAATGGTATCAGATTAGCTAAATTAGAGAAAAACATTACAAGTATATTAATGTCATGCTTCCAGTCTAAACATCAATGGAAAATGTTCTAATTGGGTTTTTTCCCCTGCACTGACCATTCTGGTTTAAAGTTTGCTATTCCAATTAATGGCTTCCATTTCACTGTCCTGTCAGCACAGATTGCACTGCCCATACTGTATTTCACTTGTTTTTATATTGGTGTTATCTCTTAATGCTTGTGCATGAGGCACATCATTATTTGCTGCTCTGACATGAGCTCAGAAAATGCTGTTTTTCTGAGTGAAACATCTTGTTTCATTTTCAGTCATTTTATTTGCTGTGAGTTGTTCCAGAAGGAAGCAGAAATTGTCTACCCTCAGCACCTTAATAATCCACTTTTATAAAATGCCTTCTGTGTCTCTGCCCTCGGGGATTTCCAGCAATGTGACATTTCCTAATCTCAGCCTGTTTCCAGCTTTATGGATTACTCTTTTTCAGGGTTCTCCAGCTCTTTGCCTTCTTAGACATTCTTTCTGTCTCTTAAAGATACTTCCGTGTTTTACATTTTGTATGCAGACTCACACAGTCTGAGTTATAATTCTGAAAGTTTTATTTCCCTCTAAAATCCCAGACAAAGCAAATATTCTCCTACACTATAATGAGACGATGCAAGGAGGAATTTTTGCTTTCAAAAATCAGATTCTGTCACGTACCACAACGAGGAATTTTTGGGGGTACAGGGAGGCTGGCATTTGGAAAGCACACAAGATAAAATTTCAGTTATTCTGTAAATTCTTGAAAGCTGCATGTACTTCAATAGCAATAACTGTAGTGCACAAGAACAAAAAAGCTGATTTCAAACACAGCTATTACAGTACATATACATTGGTTGGTTGATGTCCACAGTGCTCTGCAGTGTGAGTGGCTGATCTGTCCTGACAGAACTCTCAGTATGGTAGAATTGCTGCTGTGGTGGAAATCAGCACTGCAGAAATAAGAACCTGTTCTGTTCCACCATGGGCACATCAGCATTTTCTTGTTTCCTGGAGGAGAGTGACAGATTTCGGGTGGTTTGTGGGTTTGATGGAGAGTTTTGTTCAGATATTTTGCAAATCTCGTTACCTTAATCAAGATTGGGGTTTTTTTAAGTGCATGTGTGGTGTTTCTGTGGGTAAGACAAATGTCCTTAACATCCAGGTGCTGCTTTGATGAACATCTTTGAGGTTAGGAGGATGGGCTGAGAAGTTTTCTTGAGACTTTGACAACAGCAAAAGTCATTAATCTGCTGCCATGCTCAGTCACCAAGACTGTTTCCAATAAATTAAAGAGCAATTGAAATAATAATGCTTGGGATTTGGGTAATATTGAGTAAGCCTCGGGGATTTTAAACTCACAGGGTGAAGTGGGAGGGAAAATCAGGAGGTATTCTCTTGGAACTTGCAGAGCTTTAACCTTCACCTCCCAGACTTTTTGTTTATAGTAGATTTATAACATAATATTTGTAAGCTCTCAGCAGTTTTGGTAACCTCCAGAGGCAGCCACTCAAGGAAGTAAAGATACAACAGAGTATTTTGTGTGTGCCATTTGTGTGCAAGCCCATCATTCAGCAAAGATGAGTCAGGCACAGCTGTTATCCATTCCTTGGTAATATAATATGGGATTTTATTTTTTCATTTTCTTCCAAATTGTTTGTGCCACCCTCCTGAAGCACGAAGAACACAATGGTTTCTCTCACAACCGTGTTTTCTTTATTTGCCTGTCAGATTTTTTTTTCCCTTGCATTTTGAGCTGGTAATAAATTTAGTGCTTAGAGCTACAAAAAGGCAGCATAAAACATTAATATCTTTGAGGTCAACAGCATCAACCTGTGTTGATTGAGTTCCAGTTTAGCTTCTCGGCAATGGGATGTCTAAAATTTCTACTTTAATAATGGACACATCTGATACTTCCTCTGTTCTTTGGGCTACGGTTCAAAATGACTGATTGATTTATGAAAAGCATGCACTGTGGAATGAAAGGAGATCTTTACTCAACAAGCTGTCCCTCCATAACCTTGAAAATGCAGAGCAGGCATTTTTTTGATTGGCACAAAAAATGGCAAGGCCCAACTTCAGATGTTTCACAGGAGGATGTGAATGTGAGGCCAGAGAAGTGCGTGTGGACCATTCTCCAAATTCCAACCAAAGTCACTCTGCTGACCTTGGGGACACAGTTATTTTTTAATTTTTATCCTGTGCTTCTCTAACTGCTGGAAGGGCAGGGTTTTTTTCTAGGAGATAATCACAGTTTGTGTGGTTAATAAGGTTTTGAAAATTAGGAAGAAAGGAAAACTATAAACTTGTGTGAAAGTCAACAGGAAAAAATGGCAAGACAAGAAAAATACTTCAATCTGGCAGGATTTCACTTTCCTTCCAAACAAATCAAGGAATCATTTGGGTTGGAAAAGGCTTTTCCCATCACAGAGTCCAACCACAAACCTAACACTGCCCAGTCAAGGCCAAGCCTCATCCCACACCTTTACAGATCTCCAGGGCTGGAGGCTCAGCTGCACCCCTGGACAGCCTGTTCCAGTGCCTGATGACCTTTTCTGGGGCAAAAGGAAAAGCTAAATCCCAATAACAAATGTGGATCTCCCCAGGCACAACGTCAGGCCATTCTCTGTCCTGCTGTCCCTCGTGCCCTGGGAGAAGCAGCCAGAGGCAAGGTGCTGAGAACCGGGGTTAGTTCTCCAGGAAAAAATGCATCCAAAATCTGGAGTTCTGTCCCTTTTACAGCTGCAGTAAAAACCTGTACCTGCATCCGTGAAAGCTCCCCAGCAGGGTTTCAGAGGTGTCACAGGGGCCGTGGTTTTAATAACAAGTTTAATAAGAGGGAGGGATTTATCTGTCACACCATTTCACAGGGAGGAAGGAACAGGAAGGGAGCTCATCAGATTTTCACACAATATGGGGAATTTACAGAGATGACGTTAGGAAAAATATAGGAAGTCACGTATTTGAGCTGTAATTTGGGCATAATCAGTCACCATCCTCTGCAATGCCATATTTAAAATCCTTTCTGACAGTCAAGCTGTTATTTCAGGAGAAAGGTAAGCTGAGGGGTAGGCTTTTCTGAGATGAATTTCCTTCTGCAGGGATTAAACAATTAGGTGTACCCAAGACCTTGTTAAATGTCTAGGAAAGCTTTTTGGGATGTGATGCTGTTGCTAACATGAGTGGACTCGCCTGTGGGAATCGAGGGCCATGTTTCTTTTCAGAGCATCTCCTAGAATATAAAAGGTTTTCTTGAACACTGTGTATCCCAGTGTCTAATTGGTAAATTGGTGCATGCCTGATACTTTATTTTTGGCCTGTGTTTCCTGGTAATGTGGCAAAAAATCTTAATTTGCAACCTGAAAACCCTGGAGCCACACAAGTAGCTGTGGCTGTGCTGGGAATTTGAAAATCAGTGGGATGAGCACAGGGTTATGGGAGAATGGTCCATCAGAAATAGTTAAATTCCCAAAATGTGCAAGGCCCTGTGAAGTAAAGTAGTATTTATCACCCTCTTTTTTCTTTTTATACATACATTTGGGCAATATCCTGATTATTTCTGTGTGAAGCATCTAATGACAGATTCCACAGAGGATTGTTAGTGGCAAAACACCCTGTTGTGTTCTTATTTGGGTATTGCAAATTTATTTGGGCCCATTTGTGCTCTCCACCGTGCATTCACAGATCTAAACCATTCATGGCCCAAACAATAGCATATCATTTTCTGTAAGTTTAAAAGAAAACAAAACAAAAAGCCCCCCACAAACCACTTGTAGGAAAGCAGGTACAGTGAAGGAGGATTATAAATAGCAATATTTAAAATACCAACCTTCTTTTCCCTTAGGAAAGTTGGTTTGGTTAAAGCACCTTAAAGTGCATTCACTGCCCAGAAACTGCTCAACAGCAAACTTAAAACTATTGATGAAAGTTTCTTTGGGTTCTGATTTTAATGCATCTTGTGTGTTACATTTACCTTGATTACAATGCACACAGGAAATGCATTATTTTTCAATTATGTTGTGTATTATGGAGCAAAGAGTAGCAATATTTCTATTTTCTTTGTTTCTCATTTTAGGTGTGACAAATACTGTAACTAGTGGAGCAGAGTAAACATTTAACTCTTTCAGTTGTGCAGTCCAACAGAATGCTAAGTTCTGAGTTGTTTTTCCAGCAACACATTGGCTGGAAATTAAAATAAGTAAGAGTACCATGGTGGGTTGTGCCTCTGTGTACTCAGTGTACAAAAACCAGCTTTGAGGTCCTCTTGGCTGCCCATTCATGGCTGGCATTCTGAAGTTAACAACATCTTGGCTCACCAAAAAAGCCACTAAGAAAAAAAAAAGTATAATTTAGTGAAAATGAACACCTTCTTACCTTTTTTTTTTTTCTGTAGAGAAAGAATTGTGTTTTGAGAAGGGAAATACGCTGGGTTAAAGGAGGAAGAATGATTCACTAGAGTTCTGTGGGGTATATTTTCAGCAGTGTTGTATTGCAGGAGTTTTATGGTTGTTGTCAGCATAGAAATACTCTGAAATAAAAAAAAAAAAAATTCCCTCATACACATTCCC